GTGGCCGTACAAAATGAAATTAACGTATAAGAAAAACCGTGTGTGCGTGCAACGATTAGGTATTATACCCTACAATATTATGCGTATGCATTAAATACTCGTCTTGGTGTAACTTGGCTGTGCATTACACGCGCAGATGCAGAGAGCTAGACGTGTACAGTGTATACTTTTGAAATTAATTAGCAATAACAAACCGTATTAATTCAACGGAATAATACAAAACTACAACTGAACTTGTAAAGATTCACAGCTGTGTAAGCTTCTGTGAAGTTAAAAAAAAAACGAATTTATTTACACTGTACATCTATATAATATATTATACTATATTTGAACCTTGTTTTTGGAATTACTGTCTAAATACATTAGTTTTTAAAGGATTTTTCTCGCCAATTCCATTTCATTATGAATTATTTATCAAGCGTAATTTTTTTTTATACTCAGCATAACATGCAATCAAATATAATAGTTCTGAAACCAGTTCAAAGTTTAACGGATTGAAGAGTTTTAAAATCAATATTGAAGACCAATAATTGCTGACATCAAATAATACACAATACATTGCCATTTGCCAATATTATAGACATGGCGATATTTACAACTTAAGATAAGAACTAAAAAACGTGCTTTACTAAACCTAATAAAAGAAAATTCTTATAAAACGAATGTATTTTGGTTTTGGGTACAAACTCGTGCTGTGCAATGATTATTTAAACAATTTGCTTAACTTAATTTGCACTGTATTTTGGCGATTAAATACAATTCAACATAGATGTTTGGTAATTTATTCCAAAAGTGACCTTTACCTACATTATATCATTTAAATGTATATGCATAGTATTAAAAAAATATCAAGCAAAATACTAGTTTTTACTATGCAAGTTTGTTATACAGTGTTGCAATATTATTTAAAAGAAGCATACTTTATACGCACAAAACTTACCAAATTTAGAAATTATAATGAAGGTGCAGTGTTTTTAACACTAATTATAAAATAGTGCATGAAAATAAAAATAACCGGAAAATGATCCTGTACAATTCAAGGGGTATGATTTTAATGACATAACATTTTCAGGTTTATCGTGATTCTCTGGTTATCATATCTCTGATTTCTTGATGATAATAGATTATTATTCTAAGTGGCCAGAAATAGTTAAAATTGCACAAAAAACTGCAGTGGAGATGATAAAACAGTTTAAAGTAGTGATAAGAGTACATGGCTGTCCAAGATGCTATTAATCTAAGCTCTTACATGGTAAAAGGGGCATGGAGAGTTGTGCGAAGAACTTTAACACACTTGAAACATGCGAAAGGTGTAGGTGCTTGTCAAGATGTTGATAATGATGATATGTCATTGGATATATATGCAGATGATAAAGATCCTAATGAAGGAATCCTAATTAACGATGTGACACCACAAGAAGTTGCTGGTGGAAATAATGGTGATGTATTAGGTAAACAAAATAATAAACAAAATATTAGTGGTAGTAGTTATAGCAAGGATGAATTAATTATCCCTGAATTGTTCCAAAATGTTGGTAATGAAGTTAGGTTTACTAAAAGTGAGAGACAAATAAAAATCCCTCAAAGGCTGTTATTGTAATTATTATTATTATTTTTATGTAATTATGTGAAATGTAAAATTAATTATTTTGTTATGTATGTATTGTTTTGTTTATATTACAATATTAGCTCTTATGATTTATATAATAAAAAAAAGGAAAGTTTTTTAAAAAAGGGATATGTTGTATAAGGGGCAACACTGTATGTACTAGTAACTAGATAACATATAATCACCAGCCCTACATTGTGTAACACGTGTACCTGTTTAATTTATTATTTAATTTGTATAATAATTAGTTATTACTTTATTAATAAATACAGATAAATACTAAATAATGTATTAATTAAAATAAATAATAATAATACAACAGATATAATATATACATGTTAAACATTGTATTATCTTTCCATTTTATAATAGGTGTTTTTACTTTAAAATCATGATGGGCCGAGTAAAACGCTTTCTATTATGCTATGTTTAGTTGAAAAAAAGTATTTAAAATCGCTTTCGAGGATGTTATGATAGTCAGAACAAAAATTAACTATCAAAAAAAGAATCCTAATTACTGAACTAAGAATTACACATTGCAGTTTAATATTTAAATTAAGATTTTTCCAATACCAGGCCCCTTAATAAATGAGGCATACAAGTATATAACGATTACTTGTTGTGTACTGGAAATTGGAATATTTCGAGAATTATTGTATTTCGCTGAGATAAATAAGTAAAGATTTTCGTTATTATAATTTGTTTTACCAACGCGGGGAGGGAAACGTATTGGTATTAAAGCAGTAAAAATCAAACAACAAACCGTCTATAAATTATGCTTCCGTTTTCTCTAATACAATACCTCGATTGAATCCAATTTAGTACAACGATTCACTATATAAAAAGAGCAAGACACCCGTCGATCTTGTCTAAAAAATATTCTGAACACAGTCTGCTGTCGCTACCTTGAGTTCTTTCCTCCCATCGTTTATCAATGTCATATGAGCCTATTATAATATTATACCTGCGTACATCTAAGATTATTCGAACAAGACTCGGGCCCATTAAACGGCATAATATGCGTAATGCGGTGTTAGTGTACACATCTGATAAGTAGTTTTCTTTATAAATCTATTGGGGATGTAATATTTTTCTTTCATTTTATCGTGAGATGTAATTAATTTATGTCGTAGCCGGCGCTTAAGCTCGTCCAACGCGTAGGAGATTTGAAATAGTTTTGCCGCTCTGTATAATATGTATGTACGTTATAACACACGGCAGAGATCCGGCCGTCGCTGCAGACCTGTGTATACTTATTATTCTAAAAAACAATAATAATAACTTACGGATTATGCGTTAGCCGTGAACACTGCTGTAACAGTCGATGAAATCCGCCTCGTTTAATAGCCAATTTCAGTTACAGCTAGTCCCACCGCTTTTTTATTCGAAGCGGCTAATTTTTTGTCAAACGGTTTACAATAATACACCATGCGTGTGATCCAAGCCGAACGCAAATCACTGTCGATACAGAGTTTTCGTTAACATAAATCACGGGTTTTTGTCTGAAGAGCCAAAAACGGCCTTGACCACCACCAGCCGTAACATTTAGAAGTTACAAGAGAACCACTGCGCCCCGACGTTTGGCCTTTTACCATAATACATGTGTACACTTTTCGCCGCGCCGAGCATTGTTTGCACACGAGGAAGACGTCTTGTTATGCATTTATAATAGACACGACCGTGAAGTGGTCTAAGCCAGTCAATTTGTATTACTCAAGTTGTCGAATTCTACTTATAATTGGGCTGCGTTTTTAGAAAACTTCTCACCGCGACCACTGCGTCTAAAATTTGCTATTACCAATAAATACGTATTCTTCTTGTCTCATTCTACACAAACGGGATTCGCCAGTAAATTCTTCTCTTTGTACACTTCTCTTAATCCACACACTATTACGTGTACGTGTATATGTACGTGTTTATTTACAATATTCAATCACTTTGTCTTCGATCTATCAAGAAAACACATTAAAATCAACAATCACGTGTCTTCAGCATGTGATTCTTTTGACAAAGTCTTTTTTCGCGGCTCTTCTCTTCAACTTATTTATCTCAGATCAGCCGACCTCAACTTACACCTCAGAGTAGTGTATTGTTGAGTAAGGATCATCCTCCCTTATCAAAAAGAGGATTGTTATCAATGTTATCAGTGATAAGAATTTTTTTTGGCATAAAAAAATGGTTGATTGTGAGTATTTATGGGGTATGACAGGTTGTTATCAGTGTTATTAGTGTTATCAGTGATAAGAAAAACGAATTTTTAATTTTTGGTGTACCTGTGGCTGAGGATACAACTCGCTACTTACACCAACAGCTGTTAATCAAAACAAAAACATTTGGCACCATTTTCAACGTATGGATATTGTGGTCTGTGGTCGCATCCATCTGCCGTTATCGTACTTGGTTTCCTGGCGTCTTCATACTTCAATTATTGTTTATTGTTATTACTTATTTATTTTAATTTTTAAGAGCTGAGCAGGTGGGTAGTGGGTACCAAGGGCACGTGCTCCCCCGGACATTTTTTGATACATACCTATAACAATATGTACTTGTCGGGCACGCAACCGAAAAACGGTCGTTTGTTGTAAAATATACAGGGTGCGGCGTAATGGACTCCCACATTTCCGAAATGAATTTAAAAAAAAACTATACAAGATATGAAAAAAACATTTGTATTTATAGAAACTACATTGTTTAAGGTTTTTTTTTTTTAATTATATCGTCCGAATGATTGCCTTGACGAGCGACGCACATTTAGAGCCGTTCTCGAAAGTTTTCCATCACTCTCGCCAGCATATTAAGTGGAATCCCAGAGATTTCTTGACGGATAGCTTCTTTTAGTTCTTTAATGGTTCTAGTTCGATGTTTGAAAACTTCAGTTTTGAGGTATCCCCATAAGAAATACGAGATTAGGCGACCAGGAAACATTTCTTGCAAAACAATCCGAGAACGACGACGGGACGTATGAGCTGTGGCTTCATCCAATTGAAATAAAGACACCATTTCTATCTCTTCTAGGGGAAAGGGTTATTATTTTTTGGCTTGTCAATGTTTATCGGTACTACCTACTGTGTTCAGAGAATATTCCATAAATATTTCTAACTAATTCAACCATATAAAAAAAAATTAAGTTGGAATATATGTAATTGTTTTTCTCGATTTTGAAGGGGAATGGGTAAATTTTTTTTTTGATATATTTTTTCCCATAACATAGTTACCATTTCAGGTACGATTTCTGTACGGGAGAGCTGCTAAAAAATTAAAAGCCATCATTGTAAAAACAAATCTAGTAAACACAACGTACAATTTTAATTTTTAAGTATTTAATTCAGGTACAATAATTACATGATTTATTTACAAAAAAATATTTTGTATAACACAGTATTAGGTACACAATACACATCAACACATATTGTATGGAAAGATAGAAGAAATAATACATATCAAAACAAAGAATACATTAGGTACATTATAAACATTAAACAGAATTCATTACATAAACAACAATGTAGTTTAGGTGAAATTATTTTTAAACGTAGTTTATCAGCGCAGGTACTGAATATACTTTTCGTCATCGTCACTATCGTCTTCATTAATTCTGTGATCGGTTGATTCCGTAAAGGTCGCCTCCCAACTGGTCGAAGGGACCCGGTCGTCCCTAAATATGTACCTACCAAAACATTTATTGAGATTTTTCAGATACCTTGGTACTAACTAAAACCATTGTGTTTATCATTCTACTAAATTGTTATACTAAAAAATATCTTTATGGAGATACTGCATTTTGTTAAGTTTATTTTGTTTTTAATACACAACGATACTAGAAAATAATGCAGTATCTCCTTAAAAATTAAAAAAAGCAAAAATAATAAATCAAAGTACCAACAAAATCTTTCGAAAAATTAAGGATGCCTATGACTAATAATTAACGCAAAAATTAGTGAGTAAAAATAATAATGTAATGGTAAAAAACAGAAAAATCAAAAAACTAATTTTCCCGACAGTTCAATTATTGGAGATAATGGTGAATAGAAGTATTTTTATTGTAAAATTAAAATTGTTGATGATAATTGAAAAAAAAATCAAATGGCGGACACTTTCGGTCTTCGGAGGGGTGGCGAATTTTTTTTGGTCATTCAGCAGTCATAAAGAAAATTTCTGACAATTTTCAAAACTTTCCTAATTTTTTTCAGGTAAAATCGTTTATTGATAGTTGTTTAGGGTTACCTGACTCGCTTGGACGCCGGCTGATCGCCTTCACATGACCTCTTCGATCCGCGTCCACGACCGGAGTCCACTGTGCAACGGTTGTCTACTAATTGTAATTACAGACTAGGTTAGGTTAAGACTACACGTACCAACTTAACGAAAACTTAACCTAGAATAAGTTACCAACCTTGTCCGGCGCTCGAAGTGCTGGCAGGTGCATCAAATACAGCATTTTCATGGCTTTGATCAGCCTTTTCTTCATCGGCACATTTTACAAAATAAATCAAGTTGCCATTTTCATTGTAGGCGATGATCGAACTGTTGTCCTCGGCCATATATATCTGGTAGATGACATCGTTGACTTCTTGTGGCCGCAAATCAGATGACGTGGCAGTATCGCTTCGATCGGTTCTAAAAAGATGAAGATTAATAAATACAACCATATTATTACAGTACAGCCATTTGCAGTTACTTGACTCGCTTGGACACCGGCTGATCGCTTTCACACGCCCTCTTCGATCCGCCGCCACGACCGGAGTCCACTGTGTTACGATTGTCTACTAATTGTAATTAAAGACTAGGTTAGGTTAGGTTAAGACCACACGTACCAACTTAACCTAGAACAAGTTACCAACCTTGTCCGACGGTAGAAGTGCTGGCGGTTGCACAAAATACAGTATTTTCATCTGCCATTTTCGTAGCGAAACAAAAGTACAAAACAAAACAAAATTGGTTTGATATAAATACAAAGTTAAATTTAACACAAAGCAGTTATGGGTATGCAAAAGAATAATAGTTCAAAGTTAATTCAATTACACTAGTAAACAAAACACCACAAGACAAAACAAAATTGGTTTGGTATAAATACAAAGTTAAAGTGAAGACAAAACAATTATAGGTATTCAGAAGAATAAGTTCAAAATTACACAACAAAATATTTATATAATAAATAATTATACGAGTATAGTAACAGTACCGAGATCCACGTTACCAAGACCCAATTATCAATATAAATGTCATTTCATTATTAACTGGCCAACCATTTTAACACTTTTCATCCGTTTTTAAGATCTAACGTGTGTACTGACAAAAACCATACAATATATATTTTTTTATAGTTTTTTTTATCTTACTTAAGTGTTTCTGTACAAAAAAAAAAAAAATTATTTATAATCTATTTCGATTTGTATGTAATTTCCACATATATTTTTGAACCTTTATTTGGTTTTACAAAATTGAAGTTTGAAAGTTTTTCGATGGCAAGATAGTTTTGATACTTGTCAATAAATTAAAATTATTATTATTATTGAAATAAAATTCAAAATTGGATTTAAGTATGATGTTCAATAACAGAAACGTCATTGGTATTAGTATCAAGTGAACTCATAAATAGTGTAAAAGCTAAGCAAGAAACACAAAACCGGGCGTTAAGTCAATTTTTTTTTTTTTTTTATAAACAGTAATTCATTTTTATTCTATGCTATACAGAGAAGGCCCTGCAAACACGTTTTTAGTTTTGATATATAGGGTGTCTCAAAAAGAACGCCGGATTTAAATCTGCTATAAATTAAATTTATTTCTCTTAAAAAAACATAACAAATATATCATTCTCTTCAGGGGAAGTTTAGGTTTAACATCGAATAACAATATCGGGCATATGACCCCCCCCCCTACTAGCCCTACAGGCGATTATTCTTTCCATAAAATTTACCATCACTCGATCACACATCGCCTCATCAAGTTCGTTGAGGACACGACGAATTTTTTGCTTAAGTTCCAAGACATTTCCAAGTCAATTGATTTCGTGTCGGTTCTGTGTCGGCTAGAGACCGTAAGTACTCATCCCATATAAATGTTACTATTCGTTGGTGGTCGTAAATCAAAAGATCCTTGTAAAGTGGATGTTTTTTCTCGGTAATAGGTTAATCGGCCAATTTATTATCATATTGTATATACCCTGTATGGGCACGGTTAGATATCTTATAATAACCTCAGTTTTTATAACGTTTATTAGCGCATTACATTGGTCAGTTAACATTTCACTAATTACTGATTTTTCCGTCACTGTCCCACAAGCACGCGGTAGCACATACTATAAGTACTGCTTGTTCGTATGCACTGTTAATTTTTGACCATTCGCATCCGGTGTGAATACATTTTTTTTCGTTCAGGTTAACCGTAAACACCGCGGCCGACATCAGCTGAGTGTCCACCGTGTTGATATGACTTCTCGGCAAAATTCTTATTTCTTTTTTCCCGTAGCCACTCATAGTACACACACACACGCGATACCACTTCACAACTAGATAACCGTTCTTCATGACGCACTACTGGTGGTCCCATTAAAAAGCGCTTTTTTTTATTCGTTAATTATCAAACCCCGTGGATACCTTCGCCGCCCAATTTTTTTTGAAGCCGTTTTTCTTATCACTGATAACAATCTGCCATACCACATGGATACTTACAATCAACCATTTTTTTAATGCAAAAAAAAAATTCTTATCACTGATAACAATCCTTTTTTTGATAAGGGAGGATCATCCTCGAGGATCACTGATAAGGGAGGATGATACAGCAAATATTTTTTACAACTTTGCTTACACGCGTAGTTCATTCGAATTAATTTTCTATTGAAAAAGCATCTAAACTGGTTCAATAGGTGTTTACAGCTTTTCAAAACAAACTTAGCTTTTAAACAAACGAGGTTTTAAATACAAACTGTATTAAAAACTAATTAGGATTACGGTAATGGGCAAGTCGTTTTTAACCACAAATGTTAACAAAATAATACTATTAATATTGATATATTCTATATAATATATTAAATATATTATATATTACATATAAAATATTCTAATCTTGTTATTTGGTTTTGGTGATATCTATTTATAAATTATACGTTTAGGTTTCGTTTTTCTTGATTTTTCGTACTTTGTAGTTTTACGTGTTTCGATTTTAATTTCTTTTAAAATATACATAAATTGAAATATGTTTCTCCAATTCCAATTCTAAATTCCTCCAACATGCTTGCTCTGGAACCTGCCGACTTTTTAATAAAGCAATGACTGTACTTCAATGATTGCAGCATGAATAGTTAAAAGCCGGTGTGTATTTTGTTCTCCTAACTTCGTTTAATAACTAAAGATAAACTATTAATAAAATGCAAATTGGTTTCCTCCAAGTCTTTTTTTTTAAATTTCTTTTTACCACAAATCAATTATTATTAGTGACTTGTGTGTTGACCGCAATGACCGAACAGTATGCCATTACTCATAAGCGGCTATAATAGTATAAATTATTAAGCTTAATTATTAAATTTGATTCAAACAAACCGAATTTATAAAATAAACCAAACTATTATACTAAATGAGGTGTTTTACGTTTATTTTAATGCATGCATTTTGTGCAAATTGTCATTTATGATATGTAGTTTTTTATAAGTTGTTATTATTTCACAATTTTCTGTTGAATTTTTAAAAACAATTAAATTGTATGTTTTAATATGCTTTTTCTTTGTGTAAATGTTCACAAATGAATAAGTTTGATATGATATTGCCAAGCCAATTGCTCAAGGACGTATGTTAGATCTATGCCTTGGCTGTTGGAGGTTAAATAAACTAGTCAGGAATACAAATTTAGGTAAATTAGATAATTGGGTTATTGACGTAAAATTATTCAACCGGTTTCAATCCTCCTTTAGTTCGTATAGTACAGAGTTGATAAAACACCTGGTGGGAATATTTAATTGCTCAAATTGTTTAATCATTGATTCATTACAGAAATAACGTTTTAAATCTGTCGTATGAAATGTAAATAGTGATTCTAGAGTGTAAAACAAATTGTTGAAATACATTTTAAATTGATATGTATACCTAACTTCAAAAGTAACACTAAATTACTACAGAGTACAGACTGTAACGAAAATAAACAGAAAAAGTAACCAAAATAATTTTGTGAGATTATATTATAATATTCAGATAGCATCAAAACCATTTTATTCTTTTTAATTTTTTCTTTAAATTAAAATAACTTTTACCGTAAAATCTAACTTTTACCCGGTACTTGTCATATTATTATATTATATATTAGTTATATATTACTGCAAGATTGTGAAAATTGATATTTTTTTAAAAAGTTTTTATGAAAACGACAAAAAAATGTATATTAAAAAAAATCATTGTGAACATTTTACAAAGTTTGTACTATATTTTGTGGTTTGCTCTCTGGGGTGTAAACGAAAATGTATTATATTTATTAGAAATATAACAATGTTTTTTGTGTATTAATGATAAATTGTTAACTACTATAACGACTGAGGAAGACATATTTTGATGTGAACTGAAGTAGTAATGAGATGATAATAACAAAATAAATAATATAGAAATTATATTATTACAATATGGTATATTGTATACGTAATACGTCTACAATTTCCTTAGGTATAACTCAACTTGTTCTATGTTCAATAAACCCACCTGGAAGTATGAACAAAATATGTACAAGCAAGAGTTCTGTTTTATGAATAAATAAATAAATGTAATAGATTATACCAGTGATGTAATAAAACGTAAACGAACGTATCGCTCTTGTAAAAAAAATTCTCGTTTTCATTTATTTTAAAACAAAATAATTATATTTAATGCTGTATACCTTATAACATTATATTATCATTTATCGTGTTAACCTCAGTTTACGAATACATTGTTTACTAGTTATTTTAAAGAATCGATAAGAACATTTTATAAACTTTTTGTGATGATTGTTTACGGGGCTTCTACAATAGAATGTTTATAGTAAATTGTATAGACAATTGTTCGCAAAAAATTAATAGTAAGCAAACATTTGTAAACATAATACATTCTTTTAACACAATAGGAGGGATCCATTTTGATATTTAATTTTTTTTCAACTTCTTTAACGCATACAGATTTTTTTTTTTGTATAAAATTGTATGTTTCCACTCTGAACAGAGAGTTTTAAAAAATAATCCGAATTAAGAGACGCAATAACCCCAGTTCCCGCATGTTGAGATAAACATTTTCCAAAAATTGTACCATAATTAGTACCAATTTGTATCACTCTTTTCATGTTTTTACTTCAAACGGAGAGTTGTTAAAAATAATCCTGATTTAGTTTTGAAAAAACATTTGAACTCATCAAACGATTATTTTTAGTTAATGAATAATTCCTATGTGACAAATTTGAGTTATTAAAGATTTTGAATGATTAGTTACAATAAAATTAAAATGTACTTTGATCGATACATCAAGTAAGTATTGGATAATCTAAATCTGTTTTCAAAAGTATTTTGTCGGATTACGGTTAAAATTAGAATGAGTTGTTTTTTATTAAAAATACGGAGTTGTAGAGGCCTCTTAATTTAATCTCTAGCGATTTTGAAGCAGAAATTGTATATTTAGTTATCTGGTTCGACAGCTGTTTTTTGTAATGATAATTTAAAAGGTTCCATTTGAATGTTACTTTTCTTACTTACATATGTGTGTATATTACAATCAATAAATATTTTTAAAAAACTTATAATTTTACCTTCAAATTGCTTAGAAGTTTAGAACCCAAGCTTTATATTGTTGCTAAATTACAAACAAAAATTAAGAGGTAGACGATTATGTAACTCTACAATATGCTAAAGGTGACAAAGTATTTTTTTTTTCTTGTCGTAATTATAATTTATT